CACAGCATTTCTTGTTCTCCCAAACTTCCACTCATGTTTCTATAACTCGATAGAAACATGGTACATGTTTCCTATTTCTTAAATAGTAAGTATAGTAAATGCATTTGTAAACTATGTGTACCTGAATTGATTATTAGGTCATCAGTTGCCAGCTTCCTATTTAACTGTGATTGCAGTAGATAGTGTTTAACAGACGTGTTATTGTGGTATTTGCTATGATATATTCATTGTGTGACAGGAGACATATTCTCTTTTTCTCAAGGGCTTGTACATCAGTGGTATCTTGGGTGATAGGTATGTGAATGTTTCAGTCATGACATGGCCATGAAGTTATTTTCTCAAACTCATTAATGATTCATCAAGTTTAAACAAAGGAAGTCATGACCGTGATGGTGTTTGGATATCTTATCTTAATTAGCATAGATTTTACGATTTTATTTCCCCGTTTTCTCCTTAGTTTTAGTTTTGACTGAGAAGATATATCGAACACTCAAGACAGTGTTTGACCACATTTCCAAACACCTCAAAGTTCGTCAAAAATACTCCACTACACGTTGTATTCTCAACTCTCTTCTCGGTGTTTGGAAATGTGGTCGAACATAGTCTTTCGTGTTTGATATATTACATCAAACATCTCTTGCTGAGTCTTGGCTACATTTGGGCAAAACTCACTTTCTTTTTGTATTCATTTAATCATACCTATTGGACTGTATACATGCACAGTAACTATTTTTTTTAATATAATTTTTTGTTTTGAATGTTCTTTGTCCTGAGACGATTGAGATACCAAAATTTAATGTGGTGTGATTCAGTGCACGATGATTTCTAACCTCACCTCATGCTTGGTCGGAAAACCATATTTCTTGTATTCAGTGCTTGTAAAATGCCAGCAAAACATCATTTTTCTTGTTTTGAAAAAATCACAAAAATACTGCAAGTTGATGTCACAAAAAATTCAGGCAAGGTATTTTATTGGCAGACTGTAATTCTGTAATTTCTACTTGTACTTTACATAGGTTTAACCTGAGAAAAGTACTAGCATTTGGAATGTGTTCTTCTGCAGTTATGGTAAGTTATATATAATCCTATGAAAGCTTTCCTGATAGGAAAAAACAATAATCTCTACGTGAAGTTTGGTAAGGTGATTGTAGGTGCGGTGGGCTCATGGTTAGTGTGCTTGCCTCCAGATCAAGCAGTCTGTGTTTGAGTTCTGGCCAGGGGCATTATACATACATGTATTGTGTTGTGTTTTTGGGCAAGGCAGTTTACTCTCACAGTGCAGGTCTCTCTCCACCCGTGTATTTAAATTTAATGCTGGTGGGTAACCCTGTGATGGCCTAGCATCCCATCCAGGAGGGAGTAGAAATACCTTTAGTTGCATTATGCTACTGAAACTGGAGACAAGTGTTGGCCTGATGAGCCACTCTGCTCATGTGCAGACTTTGTACTTGAACAGCAAACAAGGCCACATTGTCAGAGCTAATCAAAATATACTTTGCTTGTTTCTGTAGCGTAAAGCTACCAGGAGCTAAGTGTTAATTCTCCTTGGATGCTATGCCATATGTACTCTACAGGACAGGAAAAGACCCAGGTCTGATTGCCTGGAGCAAGTAAATTTTGCTCTTGGGCAAATGAAAATGGAAGTTTGGTGGTCTAATGGGCAAGTGAAAGTAGCCACAGTAGTCTTGTTATAGTCTATCACTGATTATAGACAGTAGCTAGTAAATGATGCAATTGATATGGCATAACAATGTGTGCCTATTGAGTGAGTGATATTTTAGTGGGTGTAACTGAAAACTGAAATTTACTGGCCCACTAGGCAACTGGATTTCAAATTTTTTTCCTGCCCTGGATTCTTTCAGGGGTAAGCCCTGGGTAGCAAGTGGCAGGTAGTGAACATTACATGGTGCGGGAGAGTAGAAATTTGATTGTGTAATGCAAGAAGTTGAGAAAGTGCAAAGCACCATCCAGATGAGTGAGAGGGAATATCCCCAATGGCAATACTGATTTTGTTATCCTGGAATTAGAACAAGGCTGACTTTTGTACTGTCTGGGGGAACCTGAGGATATGGGGCAACATATCTCTTTACATTACCTTAAAATACATGACTTTATAATACAATGTATGGCAAATAGTCCTGAGGCAACGTGGCCGAGTGGTTAGAGTACCAGATCTGAAATCCGTAGGTCCGGGGTTCAAATCCCGTTCTGACTGCTAGCTGATGTTCCCTGTAGCTGTGAGTTCAACTTCTCGGCTAGGCTTGTAAATAGCCAACTGGTCTGCCTCCTGCCAGTTGGGATTCTAAACCTAGTTATGTTTATTTGAATATTTATTTATCATTGTTTGTTTACATTGCTCCTGAAAAGCCCCAATGGGGAGTGGCCAATTAAGAATACATTTTTACATTCAAAGCATTTTGATTGGTTCTTTCTTGGTTGAGGTTTTGCCTTATGGACCATTTCCATAGAAACGGTTATAAGCCATTTATTTTTTCTTTGTGAATGTGGGCAAATTCAATATACAAGCATGGTCCAAGTGCCATATAATAAACTACTTACTAACCTACAGTACCACTCAAAAGTACATGGAGCTTGCTTGAGTCATATTGGGGAATATTGGCCCTCAGTCAAAATTTGTACACTTCAGACCTTGCTCAGCCCAGCTTTACTGTCTGACCTTGCGCCAATATTCCACAGTATTGCCCTCATGCCCGATTAGTAAGAGGGTATAACTATCCCTGTGTTGGCTTGTTGCAGGTGATAATGTTTGGAAGTGTGAGCAAGTGGATTGGAGTTTACAACATTTGGTATTATGGAGTATTTATGGCACTAAATGGTGAGATATTCTTGCCAGTCATTGATAATGCTATGCTAGTTTAACTTTGCCGCACAGTGAAACACTAGTTTGTAACCAACTTGGTTGCAAAAAATATGAAAAATTAGAGGAACCTTGTGGTTTGAAGGTTTCTTAAAACACTGTGCACACTGCATGACTGGAACAGACTCATCCACAAACTTTTGCTATTGCATGAACATTTAGTGGCACCCATAAATCACTATTGCTTGGTTTCTTTCCTTGGAAAGCAAAGATTGTGTAGTTCAGCTCCACAGCTTTAGTTATTATGCATTTTTGTGCCACTTTTTTGCTTCTTTAAATCAAATTCTAAACTTTGCCTTAAACTGGAACTGAAACATTAAGTGTCAACAGGTAAGAATGTTGTGGGAAATCAAAGAAACACACTGAATCATGAATGTTAAACTAAGTTTGAATTATTCATCCATAAATTTTACACATGCTCTTTATAACGAGTTATTCAATATATTTGTCATCATTTTGTGATGGTATACATTTTTTACAGGTCTCTTTCAATCTACTGGTTGGCCGTGTGTTGTGGCAGTCATGGGAAACTGGTTTGGAAAATCAAGGTATTCATCTAGATTGAATTTATTACTATAATATCAATCATGTCTTCATTATAATATCACCACAAAATGAAAAATTTCCAAAACGTGATTGATAAAGAACAGAGTTAATTGTCTGAGCATTAGGGGGCCATTTAGAAGACACAGTGTCAGCTTTGAAGGATTTTGTCCCTCTGTCTGTCAATGGGTTTACCAGAGTCGGGTGTTCCTGAGGAATTCTTCACAGAACACTGGGTACTGGTTTAGCCCAATACCATGTGATTCCCAGCTAGCACAACAATCACAGTGTGATATAATCATGCATTGCAATCCCAGCTACTCAGTTCCAGGTCAATCCCATCTACATTGTATAGCATCGTTGTTAGACTTGAATCGCTCTGTTGTTGCTGAAATTTCTGGGATATTACATGTATTAAATATACACAACAACTGCACTTTAATTTTTTCTTTCATTTAAAGTGTTTAGCCCTTTCTCTCTATTGTGACATGCTTGGAGATCACTTCAATTTCACTTCTGCTTCATTAGATCTTGCCAGACATAAAATAATACATAAAACAAAACCCACTTCCAATAAACACCATTTCTGTCATTCTGTACTTTCCCTGTTGTTGTCAACTCATATTTCATGACCTCTACACAAATATATAATTTACCATCCAGCCTTTCCACTCAGCTAATAGGCTCATAATTTCTGTTAGTCTCAACTTATTTGTTTTATTACTGGTGTCTTGGATATAAATTTGTTGTCATTCTTTCTGCAGTCGAGGAATTGTATTTGGAATATGGAGTGCCAATGCTTCTGTAGGAA